TCATAGGGCTCTTGAAGGCTGCTTCAGCATATGTGTAGAATAATTAGCATATGGTGCAATAATTGTAATAAGTGTTAGCACAGTTTTTTTTAATAAGACAGAGGTCTTATTATCTTACTAACATTTGGGGGGCTTTCAACAGACTGTTTTATCTGTGTACCTGTGAGTGATCAGCTGTAGATCTACACAACAGCAGCCAGTCACGAGTGCTTATGGAAAAAGTTAGTGGGAAATTATTTTCTCCTCTATGATGGTAAGCTATCTCGGCGCACGGGCAACAGAGGATAATGTCAGGGTGGCTGTCCACCAGCTGAGGCTCAGTAGAAGTTGGGCGATGCAGCAGGACAATGACCCTAAACAATGACATAAATCTATTACAGAACGGCTTCAAAATAAGAAAATCTGCCATGTAGAGTGTCTTAGTCAGACACCAAACAGAGATGCTGTGGAATAATCTTCACACCAGACATCCTAGGAATATTGTTGAGCTCAAGCAGTTATATGAGTAAGAATTCTCCAGAATTCCACCTGAACATTGTGCAGGTCTGATCCACAGCTACAGGAAGCACTTGCTTGAGTTTATTGCTGCCAAAGGAGCTCCAACCAGTTATTAAATCCAAGGGTTCACTTATTTTTTCCACCACCACTGTGAATATTTAAGGTCTGTGGTTTTATTTTTAATTATAATTGTTGATATAGTATTAGCTGAAGCACTTTGTGTTTGTCTGTACTTGTGACTTAGATGAAGATCGGATCACATTTTATGACCAATTCATGTAGGAAACCAGGTAATTACAAATGGTTCACTTACTTTTTCTTGCCACTGCAAGTGCCTCCTAACTTCATAAAAAAAACCCTTATTAAAAGTATGGCTGATGAAAATATGAGCCATGTAGATGATTGGTTTAATGATGTTAATACGATGGTGTGGCAGCAGAATGGACAGAAACGAGAAGGAGACTGACACTGAATGTGCAATGACCACCATAAATCACCTAATTATGAACATGCACGGTTTAAGTACCAACATCAGTCACCGTATTGCATGCTTTTGTGTCATCTGTCTGCCACATTTTCATCTGCTATTTGTCATCCTGCCTGTGCATTTGCAGACATTTTTTAAGTCCCCAAATGGGACTCTCATCCCTCTTCTACTACACAGTCAGTGCTTTTGTTCCTGATGCTCAACGCACTCCATGCACCCTTACAAAGAAAAAGGAATAAAAAAAGAAGTGTATAAAGCACTATGAAGAAAACTCTGAAGCTCAAACAGCTACCTGGTGTTAGATATTATAACAGGGAGAAGTGTGAGAAGTGTTAATAGTGTACTACAGTTAGGTTTAGGGGTGGCTGTGGATCAGGAGGTACAGCTTTCGTTCCCCCAACCGGATTTTTGGCGGTTCAATTCCCGTTCTCCCCAGTCAACATATTTAAGTATCCTTGGGCAAGACACTGAACCCCAAGTTGCGCCTGATGGCCAGAGCGGCACCCTGCAGCGACAGCACCAACATCAGGGTGTGTGTGTGTGTGAGTTGGCGCCACAGATGGCTGCCTCGGTTCTGTACCGGAGACATTCGTTGTGTGTGTAAAATACTTGGCCAATAAAAGTGATTGTTATTATTATTTTTATTATAATTTAATGTTCATCAGCAGAAAAATTGCACAGGAAAAGATGACATTGTGTTCATTGGGTGTTGTGCACATAAATATATATATGTATTTACCATAAATACCATTTTGATTAGTGATCGTGCGCGGTCAGATCTACCACAAGTCTGGCCACCACCATATTGGTAGTGCTATACTCCACCTGCTATGGCTAATCCAAAAATGGGTAAAAAGGTGGAGTGTGAGTGGAGCTGTGGAGGGCTGAAGCTAGTCACTATTGGCGAGAGGGTCCCGCCAGTCACTTAAAATTTGTTGTCTCTTTCTCCTTCTCTCTTGAGCTTCATCGGTGTCCTTAGTCTTTCTTTTGGTGGCTTCCTTTTCTCTCATCACCATGAATTGTTATTCCCTTGTGTCCTCCACCTTCCACTAAAAAGAAAATTGCTCTTGGTGAAGGCCAAGCTCTGAAATGAAACTTTTCACTGACCGGGTTTCCGCAGTCCATGTTTGCATGCTTTCATGTTCACATCATTAAACCCTGATCACATATGCTCGTGAGAGGCACTGCAGCAGCAGCAGAGGGGACATGTAGCTTTGTATAGATGTGGAGAAAGCATGCCAAGTGTTGTTATAGCCACCTGGCATGCAGCTTTTTAAGTAGTGTAGTTCAAGTGAAAGGAGACCAGTCCATCCGGCACATACAGCACCATGCCAGTCGGGATTTGGAGCACACCCACAGTTTAACATTGCTATAAATGTGTGTGTGAATTTCCCGCATTGTAAAAGCTACATTTGCAGAAATCACTGAAATTATGCGCAGTACCCACAGTCCTACACTGCAGCTCAAGCCCTGCAGTAAAGGCCAGTGTTTTAAAAATATGATTTATGTAGCCTGTGGAGAACACCAAATGGGATGAAGATACAGCCTTATATTTGGGAGTTAGTAAGTGTTCTTTCTCTCTGTACAAATCTCTTCTACATTCTGCATTAATAACGTTCTCTTAATAAGCTCTATCTAAAACCATCTGGTGTAGATCAATGGCCTTCATTTTAAATTTACACTATTTGGCAGTTTATAGCTTATGGGCCTTATCTTTATATAGTAAGATTTAAAAAATTAATCTCATTTATACTGTGTTCCCTGTGAATTTCAGGTGAGGGCCAGTAGAGTTTGGTAAACCCTTAGAGAACATCTAAACAAAATTAGGTAATTGACTAAATACCTCCACTAAGACACTGTTAAAATAGAAGGAATTATTATTAGAACTGTATATACAGTATATTGCTCTTTACAGAGGTCCATATACAGATTTATATAGTACTACCTTTGGTGTGAATATAATATTATATTATAATAAAGTCTGTGCTGCATAACCAAAGTGCTCCTGCTGTATTTTTTCTTGCCCATTATAAACAATGTTATAAACAATATAATGACATCTTAACATTTCTTGTTTTGTTCGACCAACAGTCAAAAACCAAAATATTCCATTTACAGAGATGCGAATAATAATAATAATAATAATAGTGCACCCTTAAAATTTTCTCCTTAGTAACTGACTTAATTCACTAATAAAAATTTCTTTTCAGTTTAGTTGTGAGCCTGGGTCCTTTGAGTTGTCAGGTGTTCTGTCTGTTGTAAAGAAGAGGCTGATGTTTGTGGGAGACAGAAAATGTTGTAAGTGTGCTTAATAACAAAATGGCAACACCGAGGTGGGCTCTCTGCAGAGGTTATAAACTATCTCAGGCAAAGGAGGGGGCTGAGCAAAAGTGGATTAATAGGTTTGTCTTTAATTTTAAAAATACTTCTTGAAATTGTTACAAGATCACATTTCTGTCCTTTTAAAAACATTATGGTTGAGAAATGGAGTTGAGTTGCGTACAGACTGTCTGATTAAGAGTGGCTGCTGTTATTGCTTCCAGCCTCATGTATTCTCAGAAGGCAATGGAAGGATTTTTTTCATGCCAGAATTTGATATTAGATCAGAGAGCTTCAGATAGATGGGGCTTTAGGGCCCAACAATGTCTGGATCTGTGGATTATTCTTGCAGCTGAGGCACACAACTTACATTTGCAGAGAGAGAGATATGAAGATGGCTGTTTCTTGTGCAGAACTGTTTTCAAGCGGTATTTTGTGTATTAGCTTGATATTCCTCATTTTACTGTATTGAACAAGATGAAAACTCTGTTAGCCACAGAAATTGCCCAGATTTCTCCTGGACTGTAATGTTTTGATGTGTTTTCCATGAGAACACAGCATGTGGCAAGAAGCCAGGTGGCTTAAGGCTTGTTGGGGTGTCTGACTGCTTCCACTTGCTAATTATAGTCTTCATCTGTCTTCTCCTTTAAACTTCTTCATCTATCTGATAAAGCATGTTAACAGTGTTGAATTTGCTCCATATCAGCAGGAGAGACACTTTCTTGTGGTCAGATGCAGGCAAACTGTGGTCCATGATTGAGAGAGAGCCTCCTAAACCCCTTGTAGGGGCGCTCCCTCTGCACTGCAGCAAGGGCGAGCATGCTTAGATTAGAGCTTCCCCAGGGAAAACCTTGTCTGGTAGTGACAGGCTCGTTCACTACAAGATAAGTTTTCTAATTAACCCACGTGGCAGCAGTGCACCTGACATGCAGGGAGAATAAACTGTCTGCTCCTGCTTTTCACCTGCCACATACAATACAACAGGTTTGCTTCTCACCTCTCCTCACAACTCTGCTGTGAGGGAACTGTTGGACCTCTGTTCTTTTCACCACATTAACTCTGAGAGACGAAGCAGTCCGAGTAATTTCAAAACAGTGCTGATTTATTCAATGAACACAGGTAAAATTAACATTACACGCTCAGGAGTCTTTGCACCACCAACATGCATGCAGGCAGCTAGTAGATGAAAAGTCCTGAACCATAACAGGCCTATACATTATATCACTTTGGGCTAGCCCCATACTACTCAGGGACGCCAAACCGTCACGTCTCCGGTGCCAGCTTTGCAGCTGGCCATAGCAGTAGTCAAAGCATGAAGAAAATCAATGTGTGATTGTCCGTTGATTGTGTGGTGTGTATCTAAGACATTCTGACATGACAT